TGCCGAGCTTTATCCTCAGAACCTGGTAATGGATAAGATGCAACTTGTTTCATATTGAAATACTATACTTGTCAAAAAAAAAAATGACATTAACTAAAAAAGTAAATCATTTTGTTTCAAACTGAACAGACTTAATGTGTAGGAGTGAGGAGTTGTTTTGGATTGGGTGTTGGGAAGGTTGAATGGTTAGAGTATGAGGATTTGTGGTCATTGACCAGTTTGGATGGACAAGATCTTGGTCAATTTAAGGGAGTGGTGACATCAGATAAGAATATGTTTTCTTCCAGATTCACAACAGCAACTGGAAGAAAACCTCCTTTAGGTATGTCTTCCTCCTTTTAGTTAAACATATTTCATGATTTAAGGTATGTATTGAACCAAATGTTGTTGGTAATAATGTGTGAACGTACTTGTCAAAATGTCTTATGATTCTTTTTTTGTGATGCTTTTTGTTTTCTTGTTTCTCTAATTATGATGAACTTCTCATTGAACATCAAGTAGTGACTCAATTCAATTGTCAAAGAGAAAAAAATAATAGAAAACAGCATAGAGTTAGGAGCAGAGTAGTTTTTCTTTTACTTTACTGACTCCGTTTTCTTTAAGTACTGTAGACTGTAAAGCGAAATTTATATTCCTTCAGTGAATTTGTTGTTCTAATTAGATCCAGAAAAATTGGTGATATAACCTATTCGATGTCTTCTGATGGCGTTGATATTTCATGTACTTGATGCCTTACAAATTATATATAATTAAACATACTTTGTTCCCAAAATGTAATGTATGCGTTGTATTCTGATGCTTGGAACGTTTAACTACATTGTGCTATTACTAGGCATCAAGGAAAGGAAAGTCTAGAATTTTTCCTTAAGATATATGTTATACATTCCTGAATCTTCAATTTTATTATTGGTAGACTATCAAGCTAATCTGTGGTTTCCACTTAGTTGACTAATTTGAAGTTTTGTTGGTTTTTAGCCTGGGAATTTTGTGTCTAGCAGGGTTCAACTAGCTCATTACACCTTATTTGTTGAATGATGGTTGCGTTGTGGCTATTTAAACTTTCCATTGGTTGCATTATGCATGTCATTTCTATTTACATGTGGGTGCTTTGTGTTTGTGATTTTTTCCCTAGATAAAATGTCTGCTTTAACTGGAAGGTAGTTTTCTGTCAAAGATTAACCAAATACTTTGACCTTTCCCCTCTATTCTCTCCCTTACCTTCTAAGACTTGAGCATGGTACCAGAAATAGCTTGGAAGGTCAAAGAAATTCCTGTTGTTTCATGCTTTGCTCTGATGCTGGCATTTGAACGGCCTTTGCAATCGGTGAGAATTTCTTTTCCGCCTTGATGGTATTCTTCAGGCTTTTGCTGATGCAATACAAATATTTATTTGTCCTCTTCCCCTATTCTTTTTGTCTGGTTCGACTCCTATTAGAACATTTCACAAGTCCAAACCTACCATATCTGCTGGAACTTATTTATAACTTCTGGATCATTGATCGTTTTCTCTACTGACTTTCAGATTCCAGTTAAGGGCTTTTCATTCAAGAATTCAGAAAACTTAAGCTGGGCTTTTTGTGACAGTAGCAAGCCTGGGCGTTCAATCACTAGGTACGTGTGAGTTTAAATGTGAGAAGATTACGAATATAACAGTGATTGAGTTTCAAAATCCATTACTACTGTGCTTTTAACGTTTTCTTTCTCTTTCATTCTGTCTTTATATGAAGTGAACGTTGGGTGCTGCATTCAACAGCACAGTATGCAGAGAACATCATTGCTCAAACAGGGCTTCAAAGGCCTACTAATGCAATACTAGCAAAAGTAGCTGAAGAACTTGTTCAAGAATTTAAAGGCACTGGACTTGATATATCTCAGCTGTTTTTCAAGAAAGCTCACCGATGGTTGGTATTCAAACTCAATTTTAAATTGATGATTTTTTTTTTTTTTTTTTTTAAAAATGGCAGCTTTTGCTGCATAAGATATGGCATGTGGCTGCAATCTCACTCCCCTCTTTTCAAAACGAGCAGAATAATGTTTAAATTAAAGGTAAATTTGTCTTTTCACTTTTTGCTACCCAAAAAAAAAAAAATTTATGGATTTGAACAGGAGATCTTGTTCTTTCAGTTTATTTTTTTTAAAAAAACTTGAGATGATGTCTTCAGAGGCAAAATTTTGAATACAGGCTATAATGTGTGCAATGCACTTAGTAATTTTTCTCCCTAGCGGGCGGAGAAAATGATTTTGATGCGTCTAATCTAGTCGTAGTAACTGCTCCAAACTCGTATTTCTTGCAATGGCATAGATTTTGAGATCTCTTTATGTGACCTTTCAGGAGGGAAGGGAAACTTCTCTTTTAGATGCATTAATTAAAATCCGTGTGAGTGATCAAATGGTTGTTGGGAGTGTGAATGTTCTGGGATTACTCCATTGACCCGATTGACGAAAAATAAGCATATTTTAGTTTGTTTTGTTTCTACTTCTCATCAGAATGTTTACATTCCAAGAGTGGCTGCGTGCTATTACTTGACAGGGGAAGTGCATTTCCTGCAAAAAGCATAGCAGCAGAGGAGAAGTGTCTCTGGAACGGAAACAGGAGATTAGCAGTGTGCGGTGACTTCTGTGTTAGCCCTAACGTTGAAGGTGCAATACTGAGTGGCATAGCTGCGGCTGCAAAGTTTACTGAACTGCTCGGTTCCTTGTGAGTTAAACATGACTTGACTGGCTGTTGCATTAACAACATAAAGTCCGCTCATCATCATCATCATCGACATATGTCTTATATGGCTGAGGCAGGAGAAGAATATTTATTGGAAAGATTGTTCATGTATCTGATTGATCCCACAGAAGATCAGCAGCAGTAATTCCCGTACTCTTGTTGTAATAGTCAATAAATGGATTTTTGGGTAAATATTGCTGATTTTTTGTTCTGTATTCTGGGTTTAAACTAGAAAGATAACTGAAAATTAGGAAAAATGCAAAACATTAATTTTCTTTTTCCGATCCTTCCAGTTGGAAGTAACATAATAATCTTTCCGACGACCAATGGCTGATTGACAAATCTGGTTCCCGTGAGGTTGCTGTGTACTTTGGAAGTGAACACATTGAAAGAGACACCTCAATTTTTGAATTCTGCACATATATATATATTGATTTGTCCCGTGAGGTTGCTGTGTACTTTGGAAGTGAACACATTGAAAGAGACACCTCAATTTTTGAATTCTACATATATATATATATATAGACACACACACATATATATATATATATATATATATATAGATTTTTTTTTTTTTGGTTGGTGCAGAGGGCTTGCATTTTGATAATGCTGTAATGCCATATCCAAAACCAATCCATAAGAGCTATGCCACGTGTGAACATAGCAATCACCAAAGCCAGCAAGATTCTTCCACAAGCGCATATTTCAGCCAACTCTTGCGCTTGAAGGCAGGAGAGATCTTGTCATAACTTGTAAGGAATTTATAGGCAGAGGCGGCAGCAGCAGCAGCAGCAAAAGAAATGGCAACCACAGTGATGAGTTCGTTGAGCCTTAAGCCCGCTGTTTTCACAGCTGAGAAATCAGCAGTTAGAGGCCTCCCTTCACTTGCAAGAACCTCAGCTTTCCGAGTGCAAGCCAAAGGCAGGAAGATCAAGACCGACACACCTTATGGTCAGTCTTAATCTCACTACAACTGAATCAGGCGATTAAAGAATTACTACAAGCCCCCTCTAGTTGCTTCACGAAAAGATAGTAAACAGTAGTGTAATTGTTTCTGAACAAATGGTTTCATCATTATTATGTCAAGTGGTTGATTGAGATGGTATTCGGAATGTTATAATAATAGGAATTAGCGGAGGTATGACTTTGAGGGATGGACTCGATGCTTCTGGCAGGAAAGGAAAGGTAAACATTATTATTATTACTAACTGGTCTAAAAATCAGTGGTCTGTCCTTCTTTACAACCTGCATATGCATCTCTTCCTTTGATTTGATATTCGGGCATTTGTTCAGGGAAAGGGCGTTTACCAATTTGTTGACAAGTATGGTGCTAATGTTGACGGATACAGGTGAGGGTCAAATTTCTTGGCATATGATGATGTAAGATAAAAAAGTGATTGAAAAACGCGTTTATGATGATACTAACGATTTAATTGTTGTTGTTTTTTTCTTTCTTTTTAATAACAAACAACTAGTTTATCCAACCACGATATTTCACTATAGAGATACTAACATGTTTTACGTTTGAACAAAATGCAGTCCAATCTACGACACGAAGGACTGGTCTCCAAGCGGTGACGTCTATGTTGGCGGTAAGATTAGCTACCAATTTTACATGAATCCTATAGTGAAGGAGGTGGAGGAGAGTAGAGAATACGACTCTTGATTTTTGAGAATTTATTATAACCTCGTAGACAAGAACATATTATGATCATCCCCCTTCTTAATCCTCATTGATCCTCTTCCCTTTCTTTGGAAAAACAAAGAATATTCTGATGATGAGATGTGATGATCCATTTTGAAATATAATACAGGTAGCACTGGCCTGGCAATCTGGGCAGTTACCCTGGCTGGCATTCTGGCAGGAGGTGCTCTACTGGTTTACAACACCAGTGCTTTGGTACAGTAGACAATTGCCCCTGTAATCCATGTGACATTATAGCTTGTATCCAGGAATTGTTCCCAAAAACATGGATCATATATTTTGTGGGATCAAAACTCGTTTTCAGCTTGTGTCATGTTAAATGTAAGCATACTTTTTTTTACCATGATATTTCTGATGTGTGATTAGCATCTTTTCCTAATTGGTTCAGATGGCATACTTCAGCTGAGTTTACCAACTTTTGATTAATGATTGACATAAAATCTAAATGATCTCTTGCCGCAATTTCGTTAGGCCCTCTTCTCATTGCTCCATTCAGTTGCATATAGGGATTATATAACACAACAACAGCTCAATGCATTTCCAAACTCCAATGAGGGTAGAAGGAAGACGAGACTGTAAAGAAAACTTGCTCACTCAATATCATTAAAAATTTTATGCGAATGTTCAAACTGTCTTTGGAAAGAGGATATGAATATTACAACATGTAACCCTCCCAGCACCCCCTCAATGCCCTCCAAGTCCCAGTAAACTGTACATTCCTCATTAGGGTACTAAACTAAATGAACTTGTTCTTCCCCAAAATTGATGACAAAATACGTCTACATTGTCAAACAAATCTCATATGAGCATGAACTCCAAGTTGTTACTCTCCCCGTCACCTGTAAGCCTTTACCGACTGACGTGAACCGCACCAATTCACATTGTTTTGTCATGGAACAATGTAACCTATGCTCTCAATTCTTCCATCCAATCATCCAGATCTCAGTAACGTGAAGCATTTCATCATTGTCGTTGCATCTCATGGAAAATATCTTCATCTTCATGCTGTGGAGGTGTCAATTTCATGTAAGATGAGCCTACGTGTCCAACTCCCTCTGCCATGGCAGAGCGAACCATCTGCACTCGAAAAATGAAAGTTCATAACATCAGAGTTCTAATAAATGCATGGAAAATGGATACAAATAATGGTATCCTTAGAAGCTCAAAAGGAAATGTGCATTGGCAATTTTTAGGTTCATTTAGACCCAAAGGCAAGGCTGATATTGAATAGGCTTTATTGTGAAAGCAAGGTCATTAGATCAACTCCCAATCCAAGCTGGTGCATCCTTGCTCTCTGCAAGAAAAAGTTATAAAGCTGCTTCCCTTTTCATTTTGCATGGACAAATGATGATCTGCAGTGCTGTTTACTTTTTATTGTTCATCATATTACTGCCGCAAAGCCCAAACAGGGAAACAATCATCTTAGGCACAACATCCCATATATTTGTATATCTATTTCATCTTATGAGCTAATAAATACTACAAACGCTTTTTAAGTTTTATTACTTGACATAGCACTCAAGCGTAACAATAAACCAATACATTGTTTGATTAGACATTTTGAATAATCTGCACTTTTCTCCAGAATAATATCCACATTGTGTGAGGAGAGTACATCACCTTCTCTACTTCTTCACTCAGTAAGGGGTTTTCTTTTAAGTACTGTAATGCTCTGTCTCTTCCTTGCCCCAACCTTCGTTAATTATAGAACAGAAAATTGCGGTGAGCCACAATACAAAAATGAAGCCCGTTAAATAACAAGATCCAGTTAAGCTCTTTGAGAATGCAAAACTTTAATGCACTCAAAATCAGACAAACTGAGCTCAATATTGAGCCCAAGCGCTTACTGATACAGTACTATTGAAACCATTGTACAAGACACAGTTGAAAACAATAACAAAAACACGGTATATGTTTAAATCTGATAATCTGATTGTCCTAAAGACTAACATGAGCTGACAGCCAACTTCAAGATGAGAATTGAAGGGCCAGAAGGTGATCTCACTAAATGTCAAAGTCTACCCACTATATTACTAAAACTATTAGTAAGATTGGCGGACCATAGTGCTATCTAGTAAATGATAGGCATCGAATATGGTGACAGAAAGAGTCACTACACTGCTTTTAATTGAATTCAAAACTTCCAGACTTTTCTAACCAAGATAGTAGGATGTCCCAAAATATATACTCTAGCCAGTAAAGAAACAGAAGGGATCATTAAAAGCAATCATGTAATGCATACATCTAAAATGCATCATCGCAACACCATGAAAAAATAAGCAATGGATCTGCCGTGATTGATCATATACCACCTATCCAGCCTATCTAGAACTCAAACAGAAATCAATTGCCAGAATGTCAGAGTAGACATAAAACGCAGATACTAGAAAAGACTTTTGTTCCTATGGCACTTAGAGACAGCAAAATTCATGCAAGAATACACCCCCCCCCCCCAAAAAAAAATTTTTTGCAGAAGTGATGCCCTTGATGGATGCAAAGTACATACCTCTGATCCGCATAGCTATACCATGAGCCCTTCTTTAGCACAATATCCATTATTTCAGCACAATCCAAAACACAACCCTGCAGATAAATTGAAGATCAGAAGGAAGAGAAAATCTTACACATATAATTTAAGTGCAGTGTGCTGCAAGGCATACCAACTTGCTAACACCCTCTCCGAATATGATTTCAAATTCAGCTTGCTTGTAAGGCCTCGAAACCTACAAAAATGACTACTCAGCTAAATGACAAGCACATTTCAGAGCTGGAAATCCTGAGCAATGCGGCAGTTCATATAGATTCGGAAAACTATTTCAATTGTCAATATTACCTCGAGAAGAAATTAAGCAGGTTGAACATAAGTAAAGCACTATGCCTTAGCTACATGTTAAACCAAGTAAAGCATCATTCCTTAGCTACATTATAACTTTAAGTTCCATAACCAAGCACACATTACAACCATATGGAGGACCAAAATTCGAACAAACTTTTCCAACTCCGAAGTTTATCAGTTCTCTAACAAACTTAATTGCGAGAATGTAAACATATAATCTGAATACAAAGATTTTACTCAAATCAGCAGAACTGCAAATCATGCTAACGCTGGCTTATGAAGGACATTTATCCAACAGCAAATATTATGCACTTCGATTAAGGCAATAGAACAAAAAATATTCACCTTACTCTTTTGAACTCGTACACGAACCTTAAGACCAATCTCTTCATCTCCCTTGACCTGCAACAATAAGTCAGAAAGAACTGGAATAGACAAGGATAATGCACAAATCAGTTGAATAGATTTTGTGCTTACAGACTTTATCTTCCCAATAGGCCGTATCTCAAGTCGAACTGATGCAAAGAACTTCAAAGCAATCCCTCCACTAGTGACTTCAGGGTTTCCATAGTATACACCAATCTGATTAAACCAAGAAGAGATGATAAAATGGAGATGCACAGAATAAATCAAAATGCTGATTGCAAATAAATAATGAGTGCAGCACTATATGAAACTGAACTAGAATTAACCAGTGATACGGATATTTTAGGTGCTTGTAATACTACGGATGCCTAAACTTTGAGAAAAACAGCTATCCATACTGATAACAACTATATGAATTATCTAGAAGACAGCAGTTGTGGTGGTCCCCATCATCCCAGGTCTATGACCAAGGTTACTGAAAGTCAGGAAAACATCAAGGTGAGATGTAATACTCAAACCCGGTGAAGTGCTGTAGCTATGGAATGGGATAGCATCCCCACCTCCTAAACTTTTTGGATAAAGAAAAGGAAATACCTTGTATCTTATTTGATTCAGGAAAATAAGAGTACATCCAGCTTTTGAAGCATTGCCTGACATTTTACGCAAAGCTTGACTCATAAGCCTTGCCTGCAAACCCATTTGTTGCATTCCAATTTCTCCCTATGCAGAGAAGAATGAACTAAGTAGAAGGCATTGGTGACAAATTATCAGGTTCTAAAGTTGAAAAGAGAAGCATGTTTCTCACTTCTATTTCAGCTCGTGGGGTAAGAGCTGACACTGAATCAATGCAAATGAGATCCACAGCACCAGATCTACACATGCGATCCGCAACTGAGACAAGACATATTTCAACTAAAGTAAGTGCATCTCCACAGCTGAAGCTCAATCATCAGAAAATGTTCGCAAAGGTTTTCATTCTTCCAATGTTAACAAGGGAAAGAAATTACTCTCTAGAGCCATCTCTCCATTATCAGGTTGGCAGACAATCAAATTTTCTACATCTACCCCCAATGCCTTTGAGTAAGCTGGATCAAAAACATGCTCAGCATCGACAAGCATTGCATTACCGCCTAGCTTCTGCATATTCAATTTCAAAATAACTTCATTTGGTCGTAAGGCAGAAAAGAACCCAACATAGAAATATGACCTAATAAAATCATCCCCAGAGCTACCTTCCAAGGGCAACTAAATCACTCTACTTGATTTTTTGAGCAGCTGTTTAATCTTGTATTGTTTTCCAGTTCACTAAACTGGCACTTCAGATATGAAAATAGTAAAATGACTCGCCTTTTCCAGCCTTGATTCCCAACCCCAACCCAAAAAGGGAAAGGGAGAAACCAGCAATGAATGTACATCTGTGATTGTCCCTGCATAGTTCATGTACGTACAGAATAGCAATTTAGATACACAGTGTACCTGTACTTCTGCAATTGCATGGAGTGCAAGAGTGGTCTTTCCACTACTTTCCGGTCCATAAATCTGAGATACAAAATAATTAGAGATGTCAAGAACAAAAATACAATGATTAAGTTAATTAGATGGAAATGACTCAACAATTGCTATCAATTACCAAATAGAAAGTTATACAGGATGCATTCTCTACTGCAATTAATGTGAGAAATTCTACAATTGTCACCACGACACTGCACTTAATACTTATATTAAATTCTGGTTGTATTGCAGTGGTGTGTCATACATGTTCTTGGTAAGTAGAAGCAACATCCATGTGGATGTCATTTACATGTGATGGATTCTTCTTTTTATTTTTTTTTGGGCAAGCATAAGTACTTATATTGATAACCATAGAAGAACACTTGGTAGTGATTTCATCCCTAAAAGAAAGTAACCAGTTATCCTTGACATAAGTCATATACACGAATAATTACCACAGCAATATTAGATGGAAAACAGCAAAAAAAAGTACTAAATGTAAGACCTCCACGATTCTCCCTTTGGGGAGGCCACCACCCAAAGCAATGTCTAATGTCAAGCAGCCACTTGGAAAAGTTTCACTGCAGCCAAAGGAATAGACCAAGATCCTTATATATTTGCAGTAGTCATAGTATTTTGACTCTTCCTTTGTACAGGTAATGTGAGATCAAGATTTGTTTATGAAATAAAAGAACATACACCAAGGCCCCGCCTGCACCGCCAAGTCTTGTAACACTTCCTTTCCCAAATGAGTTGTTTATGTCATTCATTGCTGTTTCCAATGCTTTTTGCTGGAAAAATGTTTTAAGTAATCAAGTTAGCACCAAGCCGTCATTAATCCACATAGTGCAGCAACAGTTTACATCTATACTTTGTCAAGATGAATTGGCAGCATGAGGTTTAAGCACTCCTAAGTCGTTAGTTTTCAAAGCCAACCTTACTCAGAGACCAAGTAATGCTAATTTAGTAGTTTGAAATATTCCATCAGGTAATAAACACTGATGAGAAGCCAAACGCATGATGAGATGGGTTATAGAAAGGACATATGTTTCTAAAATAACCTAGCCCAAAATAGAGAAGCCATTTGACTGTGAAGCAGGTATCTTTCACTTCACCAAGAAGAAAGCAGAGAAAATAATCATTCAGAAAGACAGAATAGCAGAGTATCAAACAAACACAAAAAGAAGCTCATTTTGCCGTACATTTACAATTGTGATAATTTTTAGATATAAAATGAACTCCTTTGTACCCCCAATTTTGCAGCATCAGCTGTAAGGAACAAGAAAGTCTCCCTCTTTCATTTTTAAACGTTGCCACTTTAAAAATGAGAAACGAACTATGATATTCATCTGAAAAAATCAATTTTTTTCTTGAGCAAAGAATAGTCTTTTTATCTCGAAAGACTTCCTATTTGAAACTTTTGCCTCCAACCCGCAACATACTAACATTACAGAAGTAAAAGCATTTCATTTAAAGAAAAAAATGAAGTAGTAAAAGAGAAGAAATTTTGAGACAGACCCGGTCAAGAAAACGAGGATCAGAGTCAGCAGAAAGAGCTCCATTGACTTTAGCATCATATTCGGAGCGAACCCTTAAAGGTCTGGGGGTTAATTTCTGCTTCATGGGAAGGATAGAAGAGCTCTGAGATACCTGAAGAGATGAACAACTCTTACGAGACAAAGTGTAAAGTGACGAATAATACCTCTTACTAGTATCACTCAAGGATAAAACTTGGGGTTTTATTGAGTAAAAGGTTAACTCCATCACAATAGTCCAATTTAGTCTGGTTTCTTTTACGTATCAAAAATAATACTCCTAGTAAAGATTCTTTCTTTCTGCCAGTGGACTGACACAGAGAGGGGGGTTCATAAGAAGAGCATTGAGCGTTGAAGTTGAGAAGGACGACGTTTATAGAGCGGGGGAGAGGCGCTTGGAGCCTTTCGACTTTGGGGCCTTGAAAGATATCATCGTATCAGAGTTGAGAGATTCCACTGAATATATGGGGCAAAGTCATAAAAGGAGGAAACCATAAGGGTTTTCATGCAATTAAAGCGAAGGGGTACGAGGGAGTAAAAGGTTCACGTATGGTAATAGAAAAAGAAATAGAGAAACTAGGAAGTAAATTTTGGGAATTGCAAGAAAACTCTGAAGACAATGGCGGAAGAAACGCCGGAAGGACACCTGGTAGAGTCCATGTCGGCGGAGGAGGAGGCCTCACCCAATAAGAATGATGGGAATGAAGGGACAAGTTCGGAAGAATCTTCACTGGGAAGGTGTCTCTCTACTTTGATCTCTACGATAATTCAAGATTTCGATAACAGAGCTGAACACACTCTTCGCAGCCAAGATCAACTCTCCTTCGCCCTCCATCGTCTTACTGCAGGTTCACTCTTTTTTTCTTTCTACTCGCCTTCCCCATTTCTCCAAAATCTCTCTCCCCCAAAACAACCCCACCTCTGCCCTTAGTTTTAGCTTAATTATCTTTTTGCCCAGCTTGCACCTCTTTTGCCTTTTATTTATTTATTTTTTTCGTTTCACTATGGCATATTGCAATAAATTGCTCATGCTACTTCTTGGAGGAGTGTTACCGGCATCTGGGCTATTTAGCTTTTGTTTTTATGTACATGTTTGTGAACTCTATCCCTTTTTCGTGTATTTTGGTGGGTTTTTTTTTTCCTTAAAATTGTTATAGGAATTTAGTAGTTGATTTTACTGACTATATATAATGGGAACTTTCAGAGCTTGATCAATTGTTAGATGATGCACCATTGCCTTTCGTTATGCAGCATGCTGCCAGAATTTCTGGTGTTAGGAAAAGGTTTACATCTCTAAATTCAGTTTTAAAGTCCATACAGCGCCGCATTGATAATATAGATCGAACCTTGTCAGCTGCCTCGCTCCAAGGTAGTGTTCTTCCTTGCTGGACCTCACTTTTATATGTTAATTTGTTTGCTAAGATGCATCAATCTGGAAATGCCATGATTCATTCGTTTACCAGAGGAACATATTTTACTGTTGTAGCTTCGTGCTTTTAGACATTTCAAGCTTTTAAGCACTCCTATCAGATTTACATGATGTTTTTTTGCTTTTATAGATTCTGTGATGTTCATTACAGCCCATTGTGCAAATATTGAATAGGTGAGATTCTCAACAATGGGATGTTACAAGTTGTTTTGGCACCCATGGATCACAGAACTCTCTGCATTATATTGTCTCTTTTGTCTGGTTCATTAGTTAATGGTTCCTTCGAGTGGCATTGGATAACTTTGGTTGCAAGTCGGCTGTGAGGTTTGGATAATATTAAACTTGCAGATTTGGACTTAAAAGAAACAAGTAGAAACGATATGATAGATTTCCTTCAGATTGGTTGAGCACTGCTTCTGACGTAATTGTTCTACTTAGGAAAACATGTTGCACGAAGAGGTGATTGATGGGAATGGAGAGGAGAAGGACATTGGAACCCTCACAATTTTATCTTACTGCCACACAGAGGCCTTATTTTGCATGAGATGTTTTGTTATTGGAGGTCAATTATCCCCCACTCGTCCAAGTTGGAGAGTTTAGAATTGAAGCATAAGGAGATAAGCTCTCTCTTCGTTTTTTCCTATGCATTCACCTTTTCTCCTATTTACATTCTCCTTCCATCAAACAAGGAAAGATCACACTGGCTCCAAAGGCATTTATCTACCACCTTTGTGACAGATTCTTGTTCTTCATATTGACCTGGTTGTGATGGATGCTGAATAATTCCTTCTTCAAAATTTTTTTTTCCCTTTGAGGAGTGTATGGGGGACAGTTCTCGGTTTCATATGTTGGTGCGGTCTATAGTGGGCATTCAAATTCTTTAGCAAAAGGTGTCACTAATAGGAATCCTTGCACCAAAAGGGCCTTTTTCTGAACGCTTTTTTTTTTTTTTAATAACTTTATGTGATGGTAAGCTTTTCTTAACCTCTCTTATAGGGTGGGAAAAGGTTGACTAGTTTACTCTGCTTATCTTTTCGTACATGGTAATCATCTGTTTGTTTTCACAGAGTTTAATTCCATAATACCTTGTGCTCTCTCAAACACGTACCAATTGTTACATTTTGCACTTGTTAACTGGAAGCTTTTGTTTGCATCAACTGTTAAAGCTTGCTCAACGTTTCAATTTCTTTTTTGCTCAATGGCATCTGGCAGAGAAAGTGCTAACAGAAGGCGGGGGATCACATTAAGTAAGCTACATCTGACGTTCATCGCTCACTGCTACATTGTCATGGTGGATACTTTGTGGGACAAACAATTAATGTAATTCAGAAATTTGGAGCAGATTGCTTTTGTAGGCTTGTTTCTGAAATTGATGATCTGAATGCACAGGGCCTCAGATTTGTCCCCTAGTTTCTTGAATGCACAGGGTCTTTTTATACTCCTTTATGGTTCTGTGTCTGACTTTTTTCCTGATGTCTGCAATGCAATGCCCATGCATGGTGTAGCCCCTTTCACTCTCGAACTACTACTACTTTCCTTTAACTCTGATGCTAATGGGCTTCTTTCGCAAGGGCGCGTAAATTGGGAATTGTATACGTTCTGTGCTTTCGTAGAATCTTGGGCCCGTGGCCTAGGTGAGGCCAGATTTTGCACTCCATGAATCCATGGAAGAGTAAGTAGATGCGAGCCCTGACGAAATTATTCTGTCAGTTCAGGTCCTGTGGACAACTTAAGTAGCCCAACAATTTTAATGATTAGCGCAATCACCAGGAAATTTCGATGTCGAACAAATTAAATGACATGCGCAATTCTTAGGAAAAGATCAGCTTAGCAAGAAATAATTAGAACTCGATCAACACGCTTTTTTTTTTTGTTGGTGGGACTGAATTCATTTACTTGAGCTAAACGTTCAAGAAGTTTAGTTCCAAATATATGTTGAAATCGCAGAACAACTTAAAAAAAAGCTTCTTTCTTTTTAGTTCATGCATGAACAAGTAGTTTCTTAGTACTATTTCTTTCATTTCAGAACGCCCTTGACTTTAACCAAATGAACTAAAAAACCTGCCTTCTTGTCTTGCTGATGCATTTCAACTTGACATTTGAATATGCAGATGTCACCTGAGTACCCACACCCGCCTCTTATTGTTGAATTAAACATAGATTAGTCATCATAATCTCGGGTTGAATGCCACTCGCATTCTTAATCCTTCAAAATACCAACGACTGTGTGTGTGTGTTTTTTTTTTTGGTTGGGGAGGGGGGAGGAAGGGGGCGGATAACTTGCTAGCAAAAGAAAGGTTTTCGGTCACAAGAACGTAAGATGTTGAAAACTGAGGAACATTACTTGTCGAGGCTTCGCCATGAGTTTAGTTGAAAATCCACTAATAATCAATCAAGTGGAAACAATCTTCCTGTTGCTTAGGAGGATAACTGGGGGCCCAAATAAATTTTTTTTTTTTAAAGAAAAGGAAAAATGGACAACACTTTCTTTGCATCCAATCCGATAATTCTGCGAGTTTGGTAATAAGTTGCTTTCACAAATCCCTTGCGCTCGGGGGCTGTTGTATTTATGAAATGGGAAACTGAGGTTCTAAGTAGACTTTTAGCTCCAAACCTTAACCTAATTCTATCACTTATATCTTTGTCACAATATAATTATATGCAATGCTGATGCACCATCAATTCCATTAACTAATTTTAAACACAGTACTATATTATTTTCTTCTTCTGATGACTTGAGACTTACCAAGCCGTCCCCATCGTTTAGTTGAGCTTCCAACTATCGATTTCAAAGTAAACATCAATTAATGTTCAGTGGCTGACACCCGTGTGGAATTCGTGAACAAAAGAGATCCAAGACACCACAGACCACAGACCACATTATGGGGGTAATTACCTTCATCGTCTGGTCATATTAAGGATTCATATTCTTGGGTTTATCCATGTGAAAATGAAACAAGCCGACCTCTTTGAAAGGGCTCTTAGCTAGACTTTTATCCCCCCGGCGATCAAGAAAACATCAATCAATACCACTACTAATTAACGTTGACAGTCCTAAACATTTCTGTGATCTTTTGACCCTAGTGTTCATCTAGCATTGTAGTATATGTTATGTTTGGCAGCATAGAGATTTTAGTTGAAGCCATCCATCAAAACGTAGAAAAATATGCGGGGTTGGTGATCCATCATTTAGTAGTTGTACTTTTTTTATATGCAGGAGTTGTTTACGTTTTTCTCCCTCTTCTTCCTTTCTTTTTTTTTTGTCTGCTTTGATGTTTTGGCATTTTCTTTTAGGGAATCGAATCATGGAGCAATAAGATATAGTACCGGGAGAGTTTTTCGGGTACGGTTGACTTCTCATCCCCAAACGCTAACTAAAATGGATCCTTTGCTTCTCCTACGTGCCTGCTTCGGCCACCCAAGACGTATAGTGCATATATTTCTGTTAATTCGAAATTTTTGTATGCAGCCTTATTTCTTTTAATTGACCATTATTTATCAAAACCTTGCCAATTCAAACTCGTTGTGTGCTTGTGCTCGATCGCTGCTCTCTGTCAACGGGGTTGAGCAACGCACGTAAAGGCCTTCTTCAAAGCTATCAATATCAAGCTGAGTGCATGCAAGTTGACCGGTGAAGGTCTCAGTTCTTATCCAACCTGCTTTGGCATTAATTTGTAGTTATCTTTTCCGGCGCAACTGCCAAGAAATGATAGCAAATAGGTTTCCGAAATCATAAGAACTCAAGAGGAATCAGAGTTCTGGAAAACTGATCGTGAGTTTAGACTTGGTGACAAGATTTATACATGTTAGTGCTTTTGGCACACCCTATGCGTCTGCTTATTCCAAAATACATAATCAATTGTTTTTTATAATCAACTATTCTATAGATAATTAGTGCTACTTTATATATATACACATAATTACTTTTTTTTATTAAAAATTACATACACATAATATATACACACACACACACGTATATATATATATATACCAATAATGAAATTTGCAGGTGACGTGAAAAAATTCTTGTTGGTGTTTCTATATTTAATGAAATAGTCTGATTGATGATCAAAGATAAAATATCTGCAGATTTTGTTTCATTTCAATCTTCTTCTTTTTTTTTGTTTCGATTGTCCCACACATATCAGATATTAATACTTGAAGAAAAACCAGGTAGTATATATATATGTGTGTGTATGTACATAACCTAGAGCAATGGAATTAATTTTAATTTGTAAAAAAATAATCCCACCGGCCCGGAACGACCCGGCCCAGCTCCGCAGCGTTGGAGTGAATCAGTATTGGTTATTCCACATGGTAGAAAGCGCCACTTCAGATAAAAAACTGTCGGAGGTACTTGCTTCCCCAAAGCTTGGAGAGCCTTTGACGTTTGGGGAGGCATTTTCCAGCTTCGTAAGTTGGTTCAAGACAGCCTTTATGACCTTTTGTTCACAGCAAGAGGAGCTGAAATATGCTCCAAAATCTGGTATACCTCCAAAATTAAAAGTGGGCATATTCTTGGTGGAAAAGTTGGGAAGGTCCATATGGGTGAGGTATGAGAAGGGCTGGCTGTTGTTGTTGGCTTGGTCGGATGAGAAAATGGAGAAGCAGGGCACTTGCTCGTGCTCGTTGGTATTGGTCTGAGTTTGGCCGAATTTGAAGTAGGGATCCATTAATGGGGGCAAAGGTGAAGGGCTAGTCTCACCATCGTAGCTGTTCATGTCCATGTCTTGTTTGGCAGCAATAATATTATTGTCTCTATTCTTGAAGAAAACCCTACATAACACCCAATCCTCCTGCTTTCATGCAAAACGAACGCAAAAATAGAGTATATTTTAGCTCTATTTAGAATATTACGTTATACTAATTGAAAAGAAAGACGCATGCAAAAGAGAATAAGAGAGACGTGAAAAAAAAGGGACAAATATGGTAGCTGGAATTTAGGAAAATGAACAAATTGAAGCAAATTTCAGCACCTTGACTCCTGAGCAATTCCTCCTCGTCTTTAGGATTTTGTATTCATATCATGAAGCTTAATTACGTCAACTTAGTTTAACACCGTCTAATGGACTCGTAAAAATTCCCATTTATGTTTCAAAATTATCTTCACTTTGTTCAAAACAAAAATTCTTTTATCAAGTTTGTTGAACTTAATTACCATTCGTTTTTGGATACATAATGCGTACGTTCTTCCCTTTCTTAATCATGGGTTATTTGGGTTGGGAAATCTTCGAGCAAGCAAAGAGCCAAAGTTTTCCGGCGCATAAGGATTAGGGAAGCATAATGGAATTTCAGGGTACGTACTATAAAATGTTTTGCATCTTGAGCATTATTGTAAGAGAATAATAATAGACAAACACGGGCACTCCTAAGGATTATGTACTTGCAAGTCTAGCATCGATCTTTGACTTTGTCAGAACTGATGAGACAAAATTTTGATGCTGTGCCAATAAGAAATTCTCAAAAACTATTTGCAGAACTGTTTTTTAGCGCAAAAAAGATTCCGAGTCAGATGTCAGCAACTTCATAGAAAAGACGAGATATACTAGTAATAAAATCAGAGGGTGGCTATTGACTTTTTTTTTTTTTTTTTTTACGAAAGTTCGATATATAAATCTAATTCCAGAAGAAACCTCAAAAGCCGGCAACTTTTGAGGTCCTCCCAGGGACTTATAAATCCAACCCCAAACCCCCCCCAAGAATAGACGTGGGATGTCAACTCCACAAGGGCAAGCCAGTAGGCCCGCTGCTACTAAGAAGTGACGACCTCACACGAAACCAACAAATTTAACAGCCGGCAAAGCCCTAAGTCCAGAATTTTGACAACTCGGATAACCCAACAAAAAATATTATTCTAAATTACTAACTAACCTCAGTATGGTAAATTGTCAAAGTTAGGACTTCTAATTCTCACCTCTTTTTTTTTTCCTTTTTCCAGTAAAAAAAATTTAAGGAAAGGGGAAGAAGAGTACCTTGAGAGAGGAGAGTTTAGGAGGGCCAAAGGGACCTTCCAGGCGGAACTCATGCATCACCCAATCAGTTTTCCTTCCCTTTGGTGCTCTCCCTTGATAGAACACCAAGGTTTTCCTCATCCCCACCAGGGTACCCTTGCGCAGCACCGGCCTGTCTTTTCCGGTGGCCTTCCAATATCCCGATAACGTAGCTCTATTTGTTCTCAATCCAGTTGCATATTTCCGGTCACGCTGGCTGTAGAAATAATACTCCTTCCCCCCTACACACGCATTTTCTGCTCCAAATCCAATCCATGCATCCATTAAAGATATAAGCAAATTAATCATCTAAGCAAAAAAAAAAAATGTGGACATGAATCAAATATAAAAGCGAGAATCAAGACAGGTAAAAAGAGAAATTCACTGACATCATAGCAGGGGCAACGATGTAACGGGGACGAAAAATACCACTTGCTAAAAGACGCGTCAGTAAGTGGCGGAAAAAGGAGCTATGGCATCACGACGACTAACTGTTTTTGGCGGAGAGCTGAGAAACCCACATG